AGATGCAGCGTGGGGCTCCTCAAGGCTCGAGGGTGGGTCCATTTGTATGGAATGTATCTTACGATGATTTTCTGCGAATGGATCTGCCCGAAGGTGCGATGATCATCGGCTTTGCGGACGACGCGTTGTTCGTGTGCACTGCCGAGAGTGAGGAGGCTCTTGGGACATTGGTGAACGAATGTCTGCGACTAGCAAAAAGCTGGCTGGATACCAGAGGTCTTGAAATGGTCCTGGAAAAGACCGAGGCACTGCTAGTCACAGACAGACGTGGTTATGAGCTCCCACGAATCGTGATAGACGGATTCGAGGTCAAGTGGAGTAAACAAATTAAATACCTTGGTGTGGAGTTGGATGGAAGGTTAAACTTCCACCACCACATGGCTACGGCGTCGAATAAGGCGATCGAGTGTGCGGCTAATCTTTCACGGTTAATGCCAAATGTTGGCGGACCCCGTGAACAAAAAAGAAGACTGGTGGCGAGTGTCGCCCACGCTAAAATGCTCTATGCAGCACCAGCGTGGGCCCCATCCCTGAGGAGTAAAAGATGTGTTACCATCTGTGAAAAGATACTGTCGGCGCAGAGATCGATAACAACGCGTATCATCTCTGCATATAAGACGGTATCTACGAGTGCTGTGCAGGTCCTTGCAAGTGTCCCGCCAGCAGATCTCTTGGCGAGGGAAAGGGAAGAAATGTTTCTCTTTTCTAAAGAAAGCAGTTCCTGGGATGAGGAATTAAGACCAAGCAAGGGCCTGATCCGCAAAGAAGCGAGGCACAGGCTCATAGAAAGATGGCAGGAAAGATGGGATGGTGAGGGAAAAGGTCGATGGACCTATCGCCTTATCCCGGCACTCGCCACCTGGATAAATAGGAAACACGGTCAGGTTTCCTATTATTTGACTCAGGCGCTCACAGGTCACGGGTGTTTTAACTCGTACCTGTGTCGCTTTAAATTACGCGAGAACGAGGTGTGTGCATATTGCCAGTTCCCTGAGGACAACGCGGAGCACACCCTCTTCTCATGCAAAAAATGGGACTTGGAGAGGCGGGCCATGTTCGAAGGTGTAAACAGTCAAGTTACACCGGAGAATATGGTATCGCTGATGACCCAGTCGGAAGAGAATTGGCGGCAAGTCGAGAACTTCATAATCTCGGTAATGTCGAGGAAGGATCTCGACGGCCGCCAAAAAGCGTAATTTAAACAGCTTTTAATTTGTTTGTTTGTTTTTTAATAATTTATTTTGTGATTTATTTGTCCCTATACATTTTTTTTAATTTGTTTTGTTTTTTTTATTCATCTTTGTACAATTTTATGTTTTCAATATTTTATACGCGTTTATTTTTATTTTTTTTTATATATCCGTTTATAATTTTATCTTTTGACTTTTTAAACTTCTTAAAATTTTTGTTTTTTATTGTTGTTGTGCTGTTAATTCCGCTTTTATATTGAAATAGTTTTAAATTTTTTAACTATTGACGCAGGAGAACCGCAGACACAGAACAAAGTCGCAGCAGCGATAGAGTTGGAGCGCCTCCCTCGAAGGCTAAAGTCTTACGACAGTTCCGAGGGAGGGTAAAGGGCTCCAAAAGAAGGGTTACGGGTTTTAGTGGGTCGGGCTGGTAGTAGGTCGCCAGTTTATTAAATTTATTATAACATTTATTTATTTATCCTTTTTTTTAAATTCCCTTTTTTTTATTTTACCAACCCCACATAACCTTAAAGTGCGGAATCCAAGGTATCTGTAAACAGATTTCCCAAAATTCCCTAAGCAAAAAAAAAAAAAAAAAAAAAAAATAATAATAATAATAATAATAATAATAATAATAATAATAATAATAATAATAATAATAATAATAATAATAATAATAATAATAATAATAATAATAATAATAAGGGACTGGAGTTTTTGCAAAGTCGAAGAGGAAGAACTCTTCACACTTAGTGAACTGAAAAAAGCAGGCAAAAGATTAAAAACAGGCAAGGCGCCTGGAATCGATGGGATAAGTAACGAGATCCTAAAGTTGGTAATCGACACTTCACCCCAGATTCTGCTTCGATGCTTCAATCTTTGCCTTGAGAGAGGAGAGTTCTTCCGCGACTGGAAGCGACAGAGGTTAGTCCTCCTAAGGAAAGGTGAAAAACCTCTAGATAAGGTTTCATCGTACAGGCCTATATGCCTGCTAGATACGATGGGTAAACTTCTAGAGGATATGGTTCTCCAGAGAATGCAGGGCCACTTGACCGAAGAGAATCGTCTATCCGATTACCAATTTGGTTTCCGTAAAGGCAAGTCCACAGTTGATGCCATCCAGGCAGTTGTGGACATAGCCAAAGCAGGAAAAAACAAATTGGGACCTGGGAAAAAGAAGAGCTTCTGCGCGTTGGTAGCAATTGACATACGCAACGCGTTTAATTCCGCAAGATGGAAAGATCTCATCGAGTCGATGGAAAAGAAAAACATGCCGCCCTACTTGTTGCGGATAATGGATAATTATCTTAGCGACAGGTGGGTTATATATGAGGGAGACACCTGCACTCTCAGGGAAGAGATGCAGCGTGGGGCTCCTCAAGGCTCGAGGGTGGGTCCATTTGTATGGAATGTATCTTACGATGATTTTCTGCGAATGGATCTGCCCGAAGGTGCGATGATCATCGGCTTTGCGGACGACGCGTTGTTCGTGTGCACTGCCGAGAGTGAGGAGGCTCTTGGGACATTGGTGAACGAATGTCTGCGACTAGCAAAAAGCTGGCTGGATACCAGAGGTCTTGAAATGGCCCTGGAAAAGACCGAGGCACTGCTAGTCACAGACAGACGTGGTTATGAGCTCCCACGAATCGTGATAGACGGATTCGAGGTCAAGTGGAGTAAACAAATTAAATACCTTGGTGTGGAGTTGGATGGAAGGTTAAACTTCCACCACCACATGGCTACGGCGTCGAATAAGGCGATCGAGTGTGCGGCTAATCTTTCACGGTTAATGCCAAATGTTGGCGGACCCCGTGAACAAAAAAGAAGACTGGTGGCGAGTGTCGCCCACGCTAAAATGCTCTATGCAGCACCAGCGTGGGCCCCATCCCTGAGGAGTAAAAGATGTGTTACCATCTGTGAAAAGATACTGTCGGCGCAGAGATCGATAACAACGCGTATCATCTCTGCATATAAGACGGTATCTACGAGTGCTGTGCAGGTCCTTGCAAGTGTCCCGCCAGCAGATCTCTTGGCGAGGGAAAGGGAAGAAATGTTTCTCTTTTCTAAAGAAAGCAGTTCCTGGGATGAGGAATTAAGACCAAGCAAGGGCCTGATCCGCAAAGAAGCGAGGCACAGGCTCATAGAAAGATGGCAGGAAAGATGGGATGGTGAGGGAAAGGGTCGATGGACCTATCGCCTTATCCCGGCACTCGCCACCTGGATAAATAGGAAACACGGTCAGGTTTCCTATTATTTGACTCAGGCGCTCACAGAGCTCAGGCGCTAAGAAGACCTTGTCAAGAACAAGGAGAAAATAATGGCCAGAAGAAGAGCGGCACGGAAGAGTCGCGCCAGCGACTAAATGGGACCATCCATCTGCGAAGTCTGAAGCCGAAAGGTAGTTCCGTAGGTGGATAGAAGGTTCGAAACCCAGGGGAATCAAGAAGAGGTTTTAGTCGGTATTGTGACTGCCGTAAAAGCAGGTATGTGAGGTTTCTTTTTTTTTCCTTGCATTTTGTGCGAGTCCGACATACCCCAGGTAAGTGGGATCTTCCTGGGCATGCGTTAATGCATTTCCTCTTCTCCCCCGTTAATAAAAAAAAAAAAAAAAAAAAAATAATAATAATAATAATAATAATAATAATAATAATAATACTTTTCCGAAGGTTTTCGACGTGCTGATCCGAATTCGGCCTTAAAATAGACCCATCACGTCAGGTTTTCGAGATATTTTAACCTAAAAGTGCAAAAAACCTGTTTTTAGTCATATTTGATGTCATGTAACATCAAGAGATAATTTTTTCATTTAAAAAGTCAATATTGCGTCTAAAAGTGCTACTCCTCCCCTTTAATATCCATTTTGAAAATTTAAAAAATCTTTATTTGTCTCTGAGTAATCGTTCATTGAATTTTTTGAGTTTGGCGAATTCTTCGAAAACTAAGTAGAAACAGACAAAACTTCGATAATAAAGCAGATTTTAACTATAAACATCTAAATTTTAAATAGTTCTGAGGATTTTCGATATAACTGAATACGAATTCAATATTAGATTCACAAAATTCAAAATGGCGTATACAATATGGCAGACGATTTATTTCAAATTGATTGTATTTTCCTCAAATATGCCATTTTGAATTCTGTTAATCTGATATCGAATTTGTATTCAGTTATATCGAAAATCCTTAGAACTATTTAAAATTTAGATGTTTGTAGTTAAAATCTGCTTTATTATCGAAGTTTTGTGTTTCTACTTAGTTTTCGAAGAATTCGCCAAACTCAAAAAATTCAATGAACGATTACTCAGAGACAAATGAAGATTTTTTAAATTTTCAAAATGGATATTAAAGGGGAAGAGTAGCACTTTTAGACGCAATATTGACTTTTTAAATAAAAAATTATCACTTGATGTCATCTTGGCCAGATGGTAGTACCCTGTTAAGGCCCGATTGTCCCTCGACACGGGACAAAGAATTAAAAAAAACACAAATGAAATGGACAAAATTTTAAACGAAATACTCCAAGTGGGTACCTCGAAAGAGGGTAATCCCACCACCGATTCTGATCGGGTGCAAGCCCCGATAGTCGGTGCAGATGGCTCCAAGGATTTTGGAGGGAGCCAAATAGATAGCCAGCTGACATGCTACGAATCAAATGTCGCAAATCAGTTTCTGGCTATTCCCGGGATTTTTAAGAGCGTGTACCAGGCATTCAAGCGCCAAAAGAACGTCAGTCGTGACATCCAGGATGGCGTGGCGGTTTTGGAGAGTTCGTTCTTAACAATTTGTAAGAATTTACGTTTTATCCCCGAGCCGTTCAAAGACCAGGCGCCGCAACATCCAACTGTGGGAGCTCGAGATCAGACGGAGAGCACGACTACAGCTCTGGACGGCGTAACTGCACGCCCTAATAAGGCAAAGGGCGTTAATAAGCGCCCCAGGGAAGGTGCAAGCCCAGATGCGAGTCCGCAACGGGCGACTCAAAGCGGGAAAAGAATTAAGCGAAAGGATGCTCCACAGCTTGGTTCTGAGTCGCTAGATGGAACGAAAGAGGCGCCCTTAAATAGTCCTGGCAGTTCGTATGCTGAGACCGTTTTAAAGGACGGAGCGGACAATGGGGACGGCTTCAAAGTTGTTAAAAGCAAAAAGAAACGGACTCCAAAAGAGAAACCCTCAGGTGAGAAAAAAGAGCTTCCGAAGCCCCCTTTGAAGCTGAGGAGCACGGAAGCTGTTAAAATTACGGCAAGCGACCCAAAGCTTTATGAGGGTATCTTGCCGCTGCTAAAAGCAAAGGTAAACCCAGAAGATACGGGTACCGTGATCCGGAAAATCAGGAGAACCTTTAAACAGGAGGTTCTCGTGATAGTGAAAAAGGGCGGAGAGACCTTAAAATTTGCAGATGCACTGTCTTCGGCCCTGCATAGTAAAGCTGAGGTCACACCTCTAGTGAATAAAAGGTCTCTAGAGATTAAGGATTTGGACGAAGCCACCTCAGAGGTTGAGGTAACTGCAGCACTAAGAGAAAAGCTGGGTAAACCCGACCTGAAGATGGAGTGTCGACTTTTGCCGCGATACAGAGGAACTAAGGTTGCTCTGGTACGTCTGACAGAGGCAGAAAGTAACACTCTGCTAAAGCTTGGTAAAATAAAAATCGGCTGGATAAATGCTATAATTCGCGAGCATGTTGAAGTAGCTAGGTGCCAAAAGTGCCTAGCATACGGACACTCAACCCGAACCTGCAAAGGCCCCGACAGAAGCAAAAACTGTCGGAGATGCGGCGGAGAGGGACACCTCGCGAAGAGCTGTAAAGTTAAGCCGAAGTGCCTTACATGCTTGGACCTGGGAAAGCCAGAGACGGATCACGATCCCGGAAAGAGAGCCTGCCCGGTTTACAGAGAAGAACTGCAAAAGATTAAAAGGGCAAATCCTTAAAATTTTTGCAGGTCAACTTGCATACAAGTAAGGATGCACAGTTGCTCCTAATGCAAACAGCAAGGGAAAATGAGGTCGATATCCTGTTCTGCAGTGAGCAGTATCAAGGAAGCGATCTCGCCCCTTGGTATCAGGATAAGGCGAAGAGAGCCGCCATAAAGCTGTGCAACCCAGAATTGCGGGTTGACAAGTTTCTGGAGACGAGCAGTGGGTTCGTGTGGATAGAGGTGGCTAATATACGTATGTATAGCTGCTACTTCTCACCCAACGACCCACTGACAAACTTCGAAGCCAATATCGAAGACCTAGAATCGAGCCTCACAGAATCCAGGCTGGATGTCATCATCACTGGTGATTTTAACGCAAAGTCGCCAGAGTGGGGTGAGACGAGACTCGACAAGAGAGGAATTCGTATTGGAGAAATGATCTCCAGAAACGACTTATTGGCAGTAAACCGAGGCAATACATGGACTTTTAGACGAGGTGCGATCGGATCAATTATAGATCTAACAATCGCATCGTCTAAACTATTTAGCCGCATAACCGACTGGCGGGTCTCAGAGGAATATACCGCAAGTGACCACCAGTACATTGAGTTCTCAGTCTCTATGGGAGACACACGAGGAGGAAAAAGACAGGATGCTCCTAGTCGCAAAACCTCCTCGTGGAATATGAAAAGACTCGACAAGGAAAAGTTCGGCCGGTCCCTAAGAGAAGCCCTTTTAATTGAGGACTTGGGCTGGGTGAAGAGGCCAAGCAGTCTGAATGGGGAGGTGCGAGCGGTGAGGAACATGATAGTCACCGCTTGCAATGCGTCAATGCCACGCAAAGGCGCCACTCCAGTAAGAAAATCCTTGCACTGGTGGTCAGAGGAGCTAGCCTCCTTGAGAAAGGAATGCCTCAAAGCAAGAAGGACATATACCCGATCTAAGGGAGATCCCTTGCTGAAAGAGGCTTTCAAGGAGGCGAAAAAGGACCTCAAGAAAGAGATCCGCAAGTCGCGACGCCGTAGCTGGAAGGACCTAATCGAGGAAGTCGATAAGGACCCATGGGGTCTGGCTTTTAAACTCGTTACTAAGAAATTAGTGACGAGGCAAAAGACCCCTGGCCTGGACAATCCTGATTGGGTCAGAAAGATAATAAATTCTTTGTTTCCTCCTGCAGAGCCATACCTTAGAAGGGACTGGAGTTTTTGAAAAGTCGAAGAGGAAGAACTCTTTACTCTTAGTGAACTGCAAAATGCAGGCAAAAGATTGAAAACAGGCAAGGCGCCTGGAATCGATGGGATAAGTAACGAGAATCTAAAGTTGGTAATCGACACTTCACCCCAGATTTTGCTTCGATGCTTCAATCTTTGCCTTGAGAGAGGAGAGTTCTTTCGCGACTGGAAGCGACAGAGGTTAGTCCTCCTGAGGAAAGGTGAAAAACCTCTAGATAAAGTCTTATCATACAGGCCTATATGCCTGCTAGATACGATGGGTAAACTTCTAGAGGATATGGTTCTGCAGAGAATGTAAGGCTGGAGTCCCATGGTAGCGTTTTGCGTTGCGTTTTGTAACTAGGCCATGAGTGCAAATATAGCAAACATATATCTCCATCTCTCTCACACTCATTGCCTAGTTACAAAACGCAACGCAAAACGCTGCCATGGGACTTCAGCCTAAAGCCACTTGACCGGAGAGAATAGTCTATCGGATCACCAATTTGGTTTCCGTAAAGGCAAGTCCACAGTTGATGCCATCCAGGCAGTTGTGGACATAGCCAAAGCAGGAAAAAACAAGTTGGGACCCGGAAAAAAGAAGAGCTTCTGCGCGTTGGTAGCAATTGACATACGCAACGCGTTTAATTCCGCAAGATGAAAAGATCTCATCCAGTCGATGGAAAAGAAAAACATGCCGCCCTACTTGTTGCGGATAATGGATAATTATCTTAGCGACAGGTGGGTTATATATGAGGGAGACACCTGCACTCTCAAGGAAGAGATGCAGCGTGGGGCTCCTCAAGGCTCGAGGGTGGGTCCATTTGTATGAAATGTATCTTACGATGATTTTCTGCGAATGGATCTACCCGAAGGTGCGGTGATCATCGGCTTTGCGGACGACGCGTTGTTCGTGTGCACTGCCGAAAGTGAGGAGGCTCTTGGGACATTGGTGAACGAATGTCTGCGACTAGCAAAAAGCTGGCTGGATACCAGAGGTCTTGAAATGGCCCTGGAAAAGACCGAGGCACTGCTGGTCACAGACAGACGTGGTTATGAGCTCCCACGAATCGTGATAGACGGATTCGATGTCAAGTGGAGTAAACAAATTAAATACCTTGGTGTGGAGTTGGATGGAAGGTTAAACTTCCACCATCACATGGCTACGGCGTCAAATAAGGCGATCGAGTGTGCGGCTAATCTTTCACGGTTAATGACAAATGTAGACGGACCCCGTGAACAAAAAAGAAGACTGGTGGTGAGTGTCGCCCATGCTAAAGTGCTCTACGCAGCACCAGCGTGGGCCCCATCCCTGAGGAGTAAAAGATGTGTTACCATCTGTGAAAAGATACTGTCGGCGCAGAGATCGATAACAACGCGTATCATCTCTGCATATAAGACGGTATCTACGAGTGCTGTGCAGGTCCTTGCAAGTGTCCCGCCAGCAGATCTTTTGGCGAGGGAAAGGGAAGAAATGTTTCTCTTTTCTAAAGAAAGCAGTTCCTTGGATGAGGAAATAAGACCAAGCAAGGGCCTGATCCGCAAAGAAGCGAGGCACAGGCTCATAGAAAGATGGCAAGAAAGATGGGATGGTGAGGAAAAAGGTCGATGGACTTATCGCCTTATCCCGGCACTCGCCACCTGAATAAATAGGAAACACGGTCAGGTTTCCTATTACTTGACTCAGGCGCTCACAGGTCACGGGTGTTTTAACTCGTACCTGTGTCGCTTTAAATTACGCGAGGACGAGGTGTGTGCATATTGCCAGTTCCCTGAGGACAACGTGGAGCACACCCTCTTCTCATGCAAGAAATGGGACTTGGAGAGGCGGGCCATGTTTGAAGGTGTAAACAGTCAAGTTACACCGGAGAACATGGTATCGCTGATGACCCAGTCAGAAGACAATTGGCGGCAAGTCGAGAACTTCATAATCTCGGTTATGTCGAGGAAGGATCTCGACGGCCGCCAAAAAGCGTAATTTAAACAGCTTTTAATTTTGTACGTTTGTTTTTTATTAATTTATTTTCTGATTTATTTGTCCTTATACATTTTTTAATTGTTTGTGTTTTTTATTCCTCTTTGTACAGTTTTTTTTTTTCAATATTTTATACGCGTTTATTTTTTCTTTTTTTTATATATCCGTTTGTAATTTTATTTTTTGACTTTTGAAATAGTTTTAATCATCTTTTTAACTACGGACGCAGGAAAACCGCAGTGAGAAGAAGAATGTCGCATTAGCGACAGAGTTGGAGCGCCACCCTCGAAGGCTAAAGTCTTACGACAGTTCCGAGGGAGGGTAAAGGGCTCCAGAAGAAGGGTTACGGGTTTTAGTGGGTCGGGCTGGTAGTAGGTCGCCAGTGTATTAAATTTAATTTTTTATAGATTTTTTTCTTTTTTTTATTTCCTTTTGTTTTATCATACCAACCCCACATAACCTTGGAGCGCGGAATCCAAGGTATCTGTAGGCAGATTTCCCAAAATTCCCTAAGCAAAAAAAAAAATAATAATAATAATAATTCCGTGCCCGGTTGGAACTTTTGTTCTAATTGGAACTTTTGTTCTACCTGGGGCGCATTAGAACTTGTTCTTTTGCGCGGGGTTGCTGGTCCTCTATCGGACGCGTGCCAGGTGGCGGATAGTTTAGCTTCCTAGAAATAGGTGGTATCGAGGAAATCAAATACTCGACGCGGACCAAAACCAGCAAACAAGAAACATCCATCATGAGCGATTGTAAAAACGAGGAAGAGTACCTGCGGGGTAATGCTACGGCTAAATCCCTCACTGGTTCCGATCGTCAAGCGCAAAGCGTGGGGACGGTGGCCAGTGGCCCAAGGATGCAGGAGGGCAACAACGCGTTGGGAGTGCCACAGATCATCGTGGACAGGGCGGAGAGACGAGGGAGTACGAGCAGCGTGACAAGTCAAGCCAGCTGCATTTCTGTATTCAGTAATGCTTCTGCGATTGACATTGCTAGCTGCAATGAACATCGAGATGAATGCGTGAAGCTGCGGGCGGAAGAGGCAGCAAGCATTCTAGAAATGGAAGAAGAGGTCAGCAAGATGCTGAAGTCCTGCGAAGTCCAGAAGAATGTCAATAGGACAATTAAGGATGGACTTAGAAGCATAACATCGCTCATACGGGATGTGAAGGAGAAGCACGCAGCAGCGTCCAGAAAAGATGAGAAGTTCTACCAGGGGTTAGCCTGGTCAGAGGATGCACGAAAGGACCGAAGAATGAGACGTGACCGTTTTAATGCAGTAATGCTTAAAAACGTTGTCCTGGAGTCTCAGAAGCGGAAGAGAAGTGATCCTGAGAGTACGAAGGACCCAAAAAAGAAGAGGGAGGAGGGACCTTCTAGAAGGTCCAAAGGTAACAAGACCAAACCGGCACCAAAGCCAAATCCAGTTAAGAAGGGAAGAGCCACAGTGGTCGTCAAAGTGGCTGAAGGAGCTACCTTCGCCGAAGTGCTGGCGAAAGTTCGAAAAGAGGCTGACCTGGAGGCCAGTCAGACAAGGGTTGTGGGAGCTTTACCCACTAAAAAGGGAGACCTGCTCATTAAAATTGGGGGGTCTTCAAACAAGAAGTTGTTCACCAAAGAGGTGACAAAGGTGATCGGCGATCTGGGTAAGGAGCAGATGGCGGACCGGCGAACTACGTTGGAAATCCGCGATATGGATGCCCTTACAGAAAAAGAAGACGTACTGGGTGCCCTGGAGAAAATTTTTACGGTACCAACAGGAAGTAGGAAGGTGACGGTTCTCGGACCGAACAAGCGAGGAGCAAAGCTCGCTGTCGTGGTCACCAGTCAGGAAGACGCTGATAAGCTGGAGGAAATCGGGCACATAAAGATTGGGTTCGTCTCCTGCAAGATAAGAAGAAGAACTATGGTCACATGGTGTCATAAGTGCCTTGACTACGGCCATATAGGTAGAGATTGCCAAGGTGTAGATAGGTCAGCTGCGTGCTTCAAGTGCGGAGAAGCTGGCCATAAGGCAGCAGGTTGTAAGAAGAGCCCATGCTGCTTCTTATGCCAGCCAAAGTTCGGCGAGAAGGAGAATATCCAGCATGTCGCCGGATCAAGAGGTTGCAAGGTTTTCAGAACTGCCCTCGAGGAAGCAAAGAAGACTTTGTCAAGGACAAGGAGGAAATAATGCCAGAACAAGAGCGGCAAGAGACGGAAGACGATGTTGACCGGAGGAGTCCAGTGCTCAGCTGTGTGTGAGTGTGGGGGGGAGGAAATCATTTAGTTTTCCTCCCACCCACGTTCCCACAAAGCTAGAGCGGATTAAGGCCCAGTTAAGGAGTAGGACAAGGGGACCACCATTTGCGAAGTTGAAGGCCTGACGGTAGTTCCGCAGGTGGATCAAGTGTCCCAAATTAAGACGGGAGTGGTTTTTAGTGGGTAGACCAGAACAAGAGCGGTCACCCCCACATAACCTGGAATTCATTACCCAGGTATCTGAATTCGCAGATTTTCCACTTCCGACTACAAAAAAAAAAATAATAATAATAATACAAATAACTTATTAATTATTAATGATGTATTGTTTTATAAAAATTATAAAAAAATATTTTTAAACATTTTTAAAATTTGGCTCAGTGCACGGAGAAAAATCTGTTAGGATTATAATGCTCGAAACTTTTCATGTACTTTTTCCACAGATACTTTGATGCTAAAATCCTAACAGAGAGTCCTATTTATTACTCGAGTCCGCCTGAATATTAGGCGGAGTCAACTGATATTCAAGCAGACTCTTTACTTTATCGCTAGTTAGTGTCTATGCTATATTCATAACATCTACTCCATGCATTATTCGCAACAGATTTCTCTCCGTGTGTTATATCAATTAATAATTTTCGTCTAGATTTTCATGTAATATGAATTTCAATAAAGAAAGGCGTTTACTTGATCCTAGATAGCAGGTAATTTTGCAGCAAACTTGCTGTGTAAGCTTGCTGCAATATTGCTTTGTAAGCTTGTAGCAAACTTATATTTCATACGTATGCAAATAAATGTTTATTTCAGTTAAAAACATACAATACTGAATTAAATAATTAAAGATTGTGTATAATCTAAAACAAAAGTAAATAAATTATGTAAGAATAAGCAAAGTCTGAAACCGTTTATATCTCACAATCAGAATAAATTAAAAGTAATTAAAGAAAGGGAATTTATCATATGGTAATTAATATTAAAGGTAGAAGAAGTTAACAATCTTTCCGAATCAATTTCTCACATATAAATTTCATGAATAAGCTGTTAAATTTTATGTATCGACAGCACAGCTGTCCTAATACAGAAACCTGCTTTTTCTGAAAAATATTTTTCGAAATCAATTAATAATTTCAAAATAATCAAAGAACTTAGAAAAAACGGTAGCATCCTGATTCGAAATTTAAACCCTCTTTTAAGCCTCCTAAATAGTAAATCGAACCTGTTTTAAACAATGAGAAAAATGGATACTAAACTTTATTATCTAGATAGTAATGGTCAATATATGTGACAGTCAAATATGTAAAAATCTTAGATGTTCAAATTTAATATCTACAGATATTGGAAAAAGACTTGTTCAAACATAATTTCACATTTACAGATTATACTTTTTAACATCTGAGATATTAAACCATAACATCTAGATGATATGTATTAGCATCTTTTCTTAATATCTACACGGAGAGAAAAAACAAGGCTTTTCCCCATGAAAAAATATACATTTAACGCGTGAAAATTATCACAGTAAAAGTGCAGGACGCTCACGGGTTTTCCTGGTGAGATTCTTGCAACGAGCTTAGGCCAATAAGGGCTAAGGCGTGGCCTAACCGCTAAACGCAAGAAATTCATCGGGAAATCCGGTGAAACTGCTACCTGAAAAAGGCATGAATTGAAGTCACGGGGAAAAGCCTTGTTTTTTTTCTCCGTGTAGTTATTAATAAGATTTTTAATATCCACTTTTCTCAGTGAACCTGCTTACTTCTCAAAATCCTCCATTCACTCTTATTTCCTCTCTTTTTAACCTCTTTTCGACCTCTATCAAATTTTTATTCAAAATTTGGAACCCTCTTTTAAACCTCTGTTCACTTTTAAGATCTCTTTTCATTCTTCTAAACCCTCTTCTATAAAGGCCAGTCATGTTCAAGAGTTTAAAAAAAATTTTTATTTTTAAATTAATTATTATAAAAGCACTTTAAAATCTGTAAAAAAAGAGGGTTTGAGTTACCGCTTCAACTAGTAATTTTTAAGAGTTTTATAATAATTAATTTTTAAAGTATTAATTTGCACCATCAAAATTATCTTAATTTATTTTATATTTTAAAAGAAAAATGATTAAAAAATTAACATTGGAAATCTAATAGTCACATGCTGTGTAAAAAGAAATTAAATTATATTAAAAACATTAATACTCAGAATAATTTTACTCCACTTCTTTATTGTTTTTATTTTTATGTTTAGTGATAAAAAATATCACCAACTTCGTTTTTTTACCTGTAGGGTTGAACGGGGTGAAAAAGCCAAGGTGCAAAAAAGCCATTTGACTTTTATTTAATAACTGTTAAACCGATTTATCAGCCATTTAGATTATAAATACTATTAGGTAATACGCAACTTCTGATTCTAGTTTGGATGTTGTATCTATAGTAATATAGTTTTTATTGTAATTCTAATTTTTGAGTTGATCTGCGTATAACATTTCGATGAACTTTTCGAACATATTACAACCTGTTTAAGTGAACGGGTAATAAAAGTAAATGTTTGTATATAAGGAGAAAGCTATACTAAAACGTATACAATGTTAATTTTTGGAAATTGAACTAAATTAAAAATTTATTATAGCTTTTAGAAAAACTCGTCTTGGGGGTGAAAAAGCCAGGGACAAAAATCCATTGAATATTACCTACGTAAAATTAATTTGTTTTCTACTTAAACTAACCAATAAAATATGGCATCAGTGGTGAAATTTAAGGAAGACTTTTAAAAAAGGTACAAAAACTTGGTAGTGTAAATCGAAAACATGTAAACTTAACATAATATTCAATTTTCCTTGCTGAAAGCTCGTTAAAATTTATTAAAATATTTTAAAAATAAGATGATTTGTCATATAAATAAAGGAAAACTATAAAAATACCAAAATTAATAACATATTTTGTTAAAACCGCGAGGTGTCTTTTTCCCCCTACCAGGTGGTACAAAAAAGCCACTTGCAGTGCTTTTGTAAAACTCTTATAACTTAGTCCTTGCAAGGAATAAAAAATATTTCCGTCAAGAATATTTAAGCTTAATAGCTAAACTTTCAATGCCAATTGGAAATTTAAGAAAAAAATTTTAAATTTAGATTTTATAGCGTCAAATGTAAAAATGTGTCTTTTTCTCCCCGTTCTACTCTATCAAGTGAAATTATTTAAAAACAAGTTTTGTTCAAGAGAAAAATGGTTATATACATAACTAGCTGTCGTACCCGTCTTCGACGGGTTTTAGTTTCTACCAATACATTTAACAACGTTTCTACCAATCTGGAAACATTTAACATTTTTTTCTTCTCTTTTATCTCATTAAGCTTCATTATTTTGGGGCTCTTCAAAAACACTTTATTTATTTAATAGTCTCCACCCTTTGGTAAAAAATCTAAAATTATGGAAAATTAGCAAAAATTCTAAAAACGGAATTTCTTAAAATTCAACATTTTTTCTTCTCTTATATGGCATTTGCTTTATTAGTTTTGGGCTTTTCAAAAATACTTTACCTAATTTGTTATCTCCACACTTTGGTAAGAAATCTAAAATTATAGAAAATTAGCAAAAATCAAAAAACCGCATTTCTTAAATTCAACATTTTTCCTTCTTTTTTATATGGCATTTAGCTTCATTATTTTTGTGCTCTTCAAAAATAATTTACTTATTTAATAGTCTGCACCCTTTGTTAAAAAAACAAAAATTATTGAAAATTAGCAAAAATTCAAAAAACTAAATTTCTTAAAATTCAACATTTTTCCTTCTTTTTTATGGCATTTAGCTTCATTATTTTTGTGCTCTTCAAAAATAATTTACTTATTTAATAGCCTCCACCCTTTGGTAAAAAATCTAAAGCTATGGAAAATTAGCAAAAATTCAAAAAACAGAATTTCTTAAAATTTAACATTTTTCCTTCTATTTTATGGCATTTAGCTTCATTATTTTTGTGCTCTTCAAAAATAATTTACTTATTTAAGGGTATGTCCAAGTTGTGAAATGTAAACAAACAAAAGGTAAACAAACCAAACACAAAAATCGCACTTTTGTAACAGCCATTTCTCTTACAAAAATTAACATTTTTACACTTTCTCTACAAAAAAGGAAAATTAGAGTTTCAAAGTGTCCAAAAAAATCATTTTTGGCTATAAGCAATAAAAAGCAATTAGTAAAATAACTAATTAAAATGACCTGTAAAATAAATGGCATTTTTGACGCGTCGCGAAAAATTAACTGCTTGAGTATATCAACCGCACTGACAATGAAGAAGTCTCAGTCAGCGATTGGACCTTCAACATGTGGAAAGGGAAATTTTTTCCTTTCCTCCTTGAAATTACAAGAGAAAGGGTAAAAACTTCTTCATAGTCCGTGCGGTTGATATAGTCAAACACTTTATTTTTTCGCGATCTGAGACTTTGTTGCTCTCTGCGCAAGCGCAGTGCATACTAAGAATGCATTGACAGCACCATGTGGAAGTGCACATTTTCTTTTGAATGAAACTTAGTTGTTTTCTCATTTTTTTCAGCTATGCAAGACGTAGTTACCAAATAGAATACGTCAGTTCACCATTTTCATAAAGAAAATGTAAATTTATATTTATGTACGAAAATGAGAGCACAAAACTAATAAAGCAAATGCCATATAAGAGAAGAAAAAATGTTGAATTTTAAGAAATTCAGTTTTTTGAATTTTTGCTAATTTTCCATAATTTTTGTTTTTTTACCAAAGGGTGGAGACTATTAAATAAGTAAATTATTTTTGAAGAGCACAAAAATAATGAAGCTAAATGCTATATAAAAAAAAGAAAAACACAGACATAAATGAAAAAATATATTTGAGAAAGGCAAAACGAATGAATGAATATTTAAGATTACATTTCTCACTTTTTCGACAAATTCAAAAAAACAATTTTCTGAACAAATACATG